AGAGTACTATATAAGTAGCTTAAGCCTATATATAAAATTTAAGATAGAGTTTTAAGGTGTTTATTGCTAAAGTTGAGGATTAATTTAGTCCTATTAAATTATAATATTTATTTGTTCGAAAAAATTTAAATGCATTGCTATTTTTTGTAACTTGTACAACTTTAAATGATGCGATTTTACAGACTATCAAAAACATAATTATTGTTAGTTTTACTTACCCGGGTACTCCACCCGCTTCCATGTGGTTAGCTAAAGTAACGTCATCAGACCACACATCAAATTGCCACTTTCTTAGTCCTAATACTCCACATAAAACGTTACCAGTATGAACTCCTATCCTCATATCAACATTTATCTCGGTAACTTCGCGAACAACTCTATATAATAAACATTATACAGCATCAAAATTCAAAATAATGAATGTTTAAATTTTTACTTAGAAATTTAAGATCGTATAATAATTCTATACTCTGCCATTCAAATATTTAAATAAATACTGATGATCAAAAATAAACATACTTAATAGCATCGATCATCTCTAATCCCATCTTAACACAATTGTAGGCATGATTGGGTCTTGAAACTGGTAATCCCGAAACACAATAGTAACAATCTCCTAAAATCTTTATTCTCATACACTGGTTCTCCTAAGGGGAAATTAAAAGAAAAAAAATTATAATCGAATGTTGACATAGCTTAAAGTGTTATTTCAAAATTTCTATTTCTGTTTCTAAATTACAGTTCTATACACGAACTTTTTCTTTTGATGATTTATTTATGTAATAAAAAGCAATATAAAAATGTAATTTTATTTTAAGAAATGAAGAGTCATTTTAGTTCGAATTCAAGACAACATTTTGACAATCGATTCCTCTTCCATTGAGCAGATAGGTTAGAACATATTCTTCTATTACAAGTAATATAATTTATTTTTGTGTGATGAATTCTCACACGTCTCAGTATCATTAGCAAAATATTCTCAATCTACAACTCTGGGAAATTTAGATGGTATTTGCAATAAACACGAATTCAACAATAACTATATTAGGAATATCTATCTACTTTCAGTATTTTGAAGAATTTAATACAGAAGATTATATGAATAAATTTTTTTTATGATTGATAGACAATTTTGTTCCGAAAATTAAAAAGCTAAAATAAGCTTTACTAATTAAGCATTTCTGAGAAATATTTTGACATTAGACATTTTCTCGGTATCAAAATCTGACAAGTAAAGATAGAATAATTTATGACAATACTCCAAGAGAAATCCTCGTTATATTTTCAAGATAAAACTTTATCTCTTGTCAGCGAAATATGCCAGTTATGAGGCATCATATCTAATTATAAACTTATTGGAATTGACGTACTATACATATTCAATTCTATCTTTATTAAAATAAATGAAATGATTCTTTAAATATTAATAAAGAAAATATAGAACAAAGAAACTATTTTTATTTTTTAATAAACACTCTATCCTTATTCTTTTATTTTAATTATGCTGTTTAAATATTTTTAGGATATTTAAATGATAAAATGAATTCAATTAAAAAACATGAAATCATAGATAAAGTATAATCTCGTTAGAATATTTGATTAAGATTTTACGATTTCTTTGCTGATTCGATTATTGAATTTAATTTTTCCATAATTCGTATTATGTACAGGTATAAAACGAAGCAGGCATTCTAGACGAAAATTATCATATTGAAATTGATTTACTTATTCAATTTTATTAGCTTATAATTAAAATTTCAAACGAAATTCGATTATTTTAAATCACCAGAGATTTGAAATATAACAAAAAACGTTAACTTTAAAAATATTATAAAATTTTCACTTAAGCTATTTCTGTTTAATTTCATTAATACAATGATTGCCGATATTAAATAATTTAAGAATATATTATTTATGGTGTGTAAACATCAATATAAATTTTCTTAAGGAATTTATCATTACAGCTAAAGATTTAATAGTCGGGTATGTTTCTAAAAATGTATATATAATCTATTATTTGTTAGAGAAAGCGAGAATAAATTTATGTTCTTCACATTAGAAAAGCGTTTAAAATTTGACACTAATTTCGACACTATCAAAATTATTTGGGTACATTTAATAATTAGGTTCATACATTCAATAATCGTTGTTTTGACAAGGATTGATCGTGTCTTTTAATGAAGAGTATGATGACGAGAAAATTCTCTTCAAAATAGGAATTTCGAAAGTAGATATCGATGTTGTAATACAATAATTAATTCCAGAAGATTCCAATTAGCAACTTCAACCTTGTTATCTGAATTACCTTTTCTCTAAATATAGTTTGTTTCTTTACATTTGTTAAGTTCAAGTATTTAATTATAGTGCTATTTAATATCAGATATTAAATAGAATCTAATTCAAATTACTTTAAAATAAGAAAACGCATTTTATAATTATGGAATAATCAATAAAGTAATTAAAGCAACTTCATTTGTAGCTAATGATTATATTCTGTTAAGTTAATACAGAAAATATAAATTAATAAAAGTTATGATCCTTTACTAATTTATAACTGAAAATTTAAATATGAAATTTTAATAATTAATTAAAGAATATACAATATACTGTTATCATTTTTAATAATATGAATAGAATGAATCATAGTTAATAAATATGCATAACATTTGTATTAAGCTTTATAATCTGAATTAATTAGTATTATAAATGTTTAGTGAAATGAAATTTCAAGTGTATTTAAATATGATTTTTAAATGTTTAAATTGAGATTTATAACTAAGGAAATTTTAAGGTAAATATTATTTTTTAAAAGCATTAATCTGTATACATTCCATTATAAAATTATATTGTTATCGATTTTACAGTAAGACATAGTATCTTTAAAATGTTAAGTTTTGTAAATCATCTGAGGGATCGACATTTTATACGCCTCATGTTCCCTACTTTAACTTTAGTAAATAAAAATGATCTCATAAACACTTATAAATTAATATTAATAGGAGCGTCATTATTTTAATAATGATTAATAGGATAAAGTTAGAAAGCAAAATTTAAAATTTCTTAAATATACTTGACTTTAATTTATTAAGGCAAAATAAATCAAAATATAATATTTATTCGTGTATAAAATCATTAGATATAGTTTTTGTATTTATAGTGTATATAACTTTATTATTCTTTATTTATCAGCACGTTAATTGTAAATATATACAGTTAAATTGATACTGCCAAAAAGTCACTCGCTGTTATCAAAAATAATTTACAATCAATCTATTTAATATCTTTCATAAAGCTTGAGATATAAAATAATTTTTGAATTTATTTCGTTACATGTTAATTTATATTTTCAACAAGAAACAATTAAAAAATAGATATCGATAATAACAAAATTTCATATTTATTTTTATAATTTTTCGTGGCTTTCAAAATAACTTAATTTTATGTACATTTTATACACTTTTAAGCAGAAATTTGAAAAAAAAATTATACATCTATAAATTCCCACTGTTGTCCGTCTGTCTGTCCTTCTTTAATCTCAAGAACAGTGTTAGATAGATGACCGACAGGATTGTTTTGCTAATAAAAAGTATTTTTAATGGATAACATTTACTTTATCAATTTTTAAATCTATACAGAAAATTTAGATCACTTCATAAAAAAGCTTTTAATTAATCAATTTTAAAATAGTTTAATTTAAACAGAAAACGATGAGATTCATTATAAAGCCATTGAATCTGCTATCAATATTTTAATTAAATTTTTTCCTCATTCTCGAAATAACTCAGATATTCTTATTTCCTATAAAATGAAGCAAAGAATTTTTTCATGAATTTATTTAAATTTTTTTAATATCACAAAATGTCGTAATTCTTCTATAATATTAATGCTAGTCTGTACTGCATGTTTTTAAAATCACTTGAGGGAAATTTATATTTTACAGATATAAATTATAAACAAGACAATATTATTCTGCCAATATAAATTTTATAATTTATGGTTTTCTGAATAACTGAAAGAAAATTATACAGTCTATATATATATTGCAGGTATATAGTATCTAAATATAAAATAAATAGGAATAACAAATCCATTTGTAATGATTTTAACAGTTATCTTATTTAAATCAATGATAATTTTGCTTATAATTATGACAGATGTTTGCCTTTCAAAAAGTTCTGAATTTATGTTTTTGATATACGTATTTTTCAATCGAATCGACTATTAGTATTAAAATATTAAAACTGACGATACAGATGTTCATTCTGAAATAAACTATCTGTCAAATGTCAAGAAGATATTCCATAGTAATTCTAACGATTTTGCTACTGAATATTTAGTATTTCAATTACGTTAAAAGAGCGAGATATTGATATTATATTATATGTCAAATAAACAAAGAATTATATTGATATAATATAATTCTTTGTTTATTTGACATGATTTTGAAGAAATAGATTAGTCTTTATTATTCTTTGAAAATAAAATTTCATAATTTGAAACTTTCTCGTGAAATATCAAGAAGTTTTACTACTGAAATTAATATAAATCTAACAGGTCTACGACAAATAAAATGCTATTTTTCAGATTTCGTGATAAATGTTAGAACTACGCTAAAATTTATGCACATGTTCCGTTTAAATTACAATTTTCATGTTACTACACTAATTTTCACCAAAAGTTTATGAACACTAAAAGTTTATGAACAAAAGTTTACACACAACAATATTATACTGAATAAACCATCTTTTATTTTTATGTCATTTTTATTTACAATGTATTATCACAATTCTACCATTGTCAGTTTTTCAAATAATTTTCATTCTGTTTTGAATTTTCTGTAGATTTTTTTTGGTGTATGTAGATTTAAAAACACAATGATAAATTACACATGATGATTTTTTAAAATGCATGTACTAAATAAGATTTTTGATAGAAATTCATGTTCAATTAAGAGAAACGTATATATACTTTTTCACGGCATTAAACATGAACTATGTTCAATGTGTAAAATATTGCTTCAAGTTTCTATTCATGTTAAAGAATTTATGTTATAATGAAATAACACAATAAAAACAGTAATGATACAGACTTTATCTGCTATTTGCTTGTATGTGATGATTAATGCATTTTTCAGTTACGATATATAATCTCACGTGAATATTTATAATATGAATATAATAGTTTCAAATTACTTTCTTCTATTTAAACGTAAAATATTAATTTATTAATCTGCTTTAATGCTATTGATTATTATATTCTTACATAAGTCTAATTATGTATGATCATAGCAATATTTCTAATTTAGTACTACTGGTATATATCGTATTCATTTTAATATATTATTTAAAATAATAAAATAATAGGCCTATATGTTTAAAATATGCAAAATTCTTCAAAATATTGTCTTTCGTGTAAATTTCTAATAACTTTGTTATATATAATATTTTTCATAGTTTAATCATATATTCCAAAAGTATTTGTTTAATTAAAGCGATGATCAATAATCAAGCTGAGACAATTTGACAAGTTCATTTTATTAATTTATAAGACAAAATTTTCGAATAAAACTAAGATAAAACGTGTTTAACATATTAATATATACCGGTACATATAATACTTAGCTTGAAATCGTCACGACACCTT